CTTTTAGTTTCATTTTATAACTTTAAAAAATGTTCACATAATATAACTTAAAAAAACAAAATAAAATAAAATAAAAATGATTGTAAACATTTTATGTAATGTAATATGATAATATTTTATAAGAGGTCAATCAGTCGGAGCATCAGCCTCAAAGGCCGCTTGGAGAGAAGCTTGCACTGCTGGATAGACGAACACCAGAATGTTCTCCATTTTGGTCCAGAACTCGTTGGGCATCAGCTCCAGCACTGTGTCCACGACCACCTCCTCCGAATCCACCACTTGATGCATACCAGCATGCAAACGCCACGGGATCGATCTGGCATACTCGAGCCCCACGGTGAGCCCTGCATCGTTTAACAATGCCACGACTCTGAAAGACATAACAGTCACATGTAAGTATTAGTTGACAGAAGAAAAAAAGAAAAAGAAAAAGAAAAACTTACCCTGGAATGTTGAAAAACGCATTCCAATTTATTTTTCCATCGGCTGCGAGTGGGATCTCCACATCTGCTTCTCTCGCAAGCCTCACGCATTTCTCCCGAGCGGCCTCCCAGAGCTTTCGCAGAAGTACTCGCTCGACCATGTGCAATGCAGATAACCTCTGCTGCAATGCTGAGAGTTGACGGCCTTGGGCTGAAAGCTGACGACTCTGGTCTGTAAGTTCTTCCTTCAGCTTCGAAGTTTCCTCCTCCAGTTGCTCCTCGAGCTTTGCCACTCTCTCCGTGAGTTTAGTATTCTCCTCCTTAAGGCTCTCCCCTGAGTCCTTCTGCAGCTCCTGGATTTTCTCAGCTTGCTCTTTGTTCACCTTCATAAGCTTGTCCTTTGTGTTCTTGATCTCTTCTTTCTGGTTGGTGACTTGCAGGATCAACTTGGAGTTCAGATCTTTGAGTCTCATGTTTGCGCCCTCCAGTCCCTGGTCTGGCTTGGGAACAACCCTGATGTAGTTCTGTCTGGCCCATGCCTCAGGCTTCAGCCTCGAGTTCTTGTAGCTAGGATCACTGATTTTGGCCTCCAGATCTTCCTTCCGCAGGTTGAAACGTTTCGCTGCCGCATCCACCGCAAAACCAAAAGCGCCATCCAGAGATTTCTTCCAGTCACCCGCTGGAAGAGGCCATGCAGACAGAGTGCACTCCACGTAAAGAATCGGGACGGACGGACGATTCTCTCCAGGCGCAATATAGTTCCCTGCAAAAAAAAAGGAGGATTCCAGGACAAAGAGCTACCACAAAGTGACTTACCGCTGCTGCTCATCGCTCCTTTCGTCAAGAACCCTAAACGACTGAGATTAATTTTCATCTAACTGCTGTTGTCAATTTAGATTAATTTTAATACACTACCAAAATCACTTTTGTTAAAACTGAATTAATATCAATTATTATTAAACGTTACTAATTGAGTCTCTATGTAATTGAAACCGCCAAGAGACTTTGTCGAGAAGGGGAACTCTTTTAACTGCGAGAATGGTTTTAAATTGATAGAAATATGAAAAATTTGTATGTTGCCGTAGTAAGCCATCTTCTCCGCATCAAAACTGCTCATGAACAGCGTTGATAAATTCTTTTGCAGGCTTCCTGTCTCCAAAAATAAAAAGCTCACAAAACAATTTACAAATTACGTAGTCTCTAACCTGCAACCATAGGTGAGAATTTGCCGACCAATGTCCTCATTCACGACCACCTATAAGAAAATATATAGTTCATCTATGTAGAACATTTTACTGCTTTTACTTCTGTGTACAATGACTCCGGCTCGTTTGGGATCCACGCATCTTCTGTGAGTAGCTCTTGAGTAATATTTGTCTCAAACGCATGTTCTTGTGCTGTTTATCTAGGAGCACAAGTTTGTAGACGGACTGGTAGATGTTATAGAAGACGAGCTTATTTCTGTGGCAGAACCTGGAGAAGGTACTCAACTTGAAACTCTCTTTTTTCACTTCTCTATGAACGTTCTTTCCATTGTAGTCGACGAAGAATGCAACCATTTCACTTGTTTGATGAATCTCGAGTCTCAGGTTCGTGATTTCTCGTTTCTCTATGCCTTGGGATGGACAGTGAGAACGGGAGTATCTGGACGTCAGTGCCAAACTAAGTAAGAACACAAAATCCAAACCACGATTCATACATACACAATCTGGAATGGATGCCCTTGCCCAGGCTCCGGTTGAAAACGAGCCAACTAAAACGGAAACAAGAAAAAAGAAACACAAAGTTTGAGCATAAACATTTTCTTCCAGCAAACTTGAGAAAGAAGGGGAAGCTTTACCTATAACACAGTTGCCGCAACAGCATCGCGTTCGTTTCTCCACCCACCAGGGATTTCAAAAGCGATGGAAACCCACGTAGTCTGCTTAAAAATGAAAGAGTTAAATGCATTTAGACTTCCAACAAAGAGAAAACGCAAAAAGGAAAGAAAGGAAAAACTCTTACATCACTCTCGCTTGAAGGCGCCACTGGCCACTAACATACTCGGACTTCACAGGCTCTGGAGGTGCCATTTCTTTCTCTTTTTTTCTTTTTCTTCTTACGGGGTTGATTGGATCCACAGGCTGACATCTTGGTGGCAAGCGAGTCCTCGTTGGAAAAAACTGACTTGCGTGCTCTTCCTACTTTCGTTATTCTTGTATTTTTTCTAACAGCAGGGAGATTTTGCAGGCAAACTAAACAGCTTCACGGATGGTTTTCGCTGGGTCTGGCGCCAAGCACGTTCTCGCTGGTGAAACCGTTGTTAGAGGACATGCCTCTGGTACCTGTTCTTTGATTTCCCACTCATGGAAAGCCGGGTTCTGGATGCTATCGGCAAGAAGCTCCACAATCTCGAAGCTTCACCCGTATAAGACATATACCAGATATCATTATAACATTTACATGTTACAAGAGTTACGAAATGAATTTCTATCTGATATTACTAAGAAACAAATTTTTGGAAAATGTATTTGTGTGTGTGTGTGTGTGAGAGAGAGAGAGAGAGAGAGAGAGAGAGAGTGCGTGTGCGCGCGCATTAATATTTCTAATATCAATTTCTTTATAAATTGTTGTATTTGTGTTTAAATTAAATCCTATGTGATATATCTTTTATCCAATATAATTTAAGTTTTATTTTACCTGTAAATCAAATAATACTAAATATATTTCAGTAAAATTTTGCTGTTCAGAATAACATGATTAAAATTGAACAACTTAAAAATATAACACAAAAAACATTGTGAACATTATCATTGTAAATATTAAGATGGCATTGCAAATTGTAAATATTAAAATTTATCTGTATAAATATATTTATTATTAAAATAATCATATAAAATGGAATTTAAATTTCAGCTATGTTTACAATTTGGTGAAGATCTTTTAGATATGCATTAGTAAAAATCTTACTATTTTTTATTATACTGGGGATATAGGGATTTTTCAAATTCAAAATGCCTGATCATCTTACATCTGTAATTTGTCTTCCTGTCCATCTTTCAAACTTTCAAAACAGGTACAATCTAAATGTAAATATTATATCTTAAATGCATTCTCTCACAAATATTGAATTATATCATTTACGTCTTATCTTATTGGTACTACATTTTTCAATAATCTAGAAACAGTTAACAATATTTGCTATCTAACAAGTTATTTCTACTAGAGGTCTTTTATTTGACAATACTGAGTGAGAAAAAGGCCTAAAAGGTGCTGAGCTTACGTTTCTTTCAAAATGGCAGATATTTTATGGCCTGTGCCTGCAAAAAATGAAGCAAGTAAGCTTTCTTTGTGTTTGATTCACGTCTTTACCAGGTCCTAATTGCAGAAATCCCGTAAAAATGCCTTGCAAAGATTCCATCCGGTGTGCTCTTGTGCACTGATGTCGCTGCTCGCGGATATACCTGGTGTCGACTGGATTGTTCAGGTAAAGTTCGCTTACGCTTCGCAGCCCAGTATGATCCTCCTCAAGATCCAAACACGTTTGTTCGCAGAGTCAGGCGTACTGCAAGAACAGGACGCATTGGACATTAGGTTGTTTTCCTCATGGAGAAAAGACTTAAAAGCATTTGTATCATATTTTCGAGCATACAAGAGCAGCACCACTGTAACTACATTTTCTGGTTTACTTCTTTGTCCTCTATTTGTATTTAGGTGGAAGAAACTGCAGGTTGGCAAGATTGCTATGGGATTTGGCCTCTTGCAGCTACTTTTGACGCCTCCCGAGAGAGATTCCAAGTCTCAAAAGCCAAAGAAAATCGCGGGCGTTGAAGGTCCCCAGCAAAAAACAAGAAGCTCAAGAGCCATGCAGTGGAAGAAGCAATGACAAAAGCAGAAGCTCTAGTTACCACTGTGTAAATGCTGCGAGTGGCTCCCAGTCCGTAAAAGGGCTGTGGTGCACTTAGTCAGCCATTAGCACGCAAGGAAACTCTCACCTCCTGCTATTTTCGATTGACTCATTTGCTATTTTTATTTGCTAGATGGAAGTTACTCTGTGACAGGCAAAGAAAATGAGCACGAAAATTTAGCGACAAAGAGCTTTTACGTTTACTTTAGCTTACTCGCTTAACTTTTTGAGTATCTTCCGAAAGTAAGAACAGCAGACTTGTAAAAGAGGCTCTAGAACTCAAGAGGATGGCTACTGAAGGGAGAAAATTCGAGGGCGTTGCAAAACCTGACACGAGAAACAAAAGCTCAGTGCTTAGTAAGCTTGAAATTGACACACCTTTACTCAGTCGGAGCGTCAGCCTCAAAGGCTGCTTGGAGAGAAGCTTGCGCTGCTGGATAGACGAACACCAGAATGTTCTCCATTTTGGTCCGGAACTCGTCGAGCATCAGCTCCAGCACTGTGTCCACAAACACCTCCTCTGACTCCACCACTTGATGTACACCGGCATGCAAACGCCGCAGGATCGATCTGGCATACTCGAGCCCCACGGTGAGCCCTGCATCGTTTAACAATGCCACGACCCTGGAAGAAATAAAAGTCACATGTAAGTACTAGTTGACAGAAGAAAGAAAGAAAAGAAAAAGAAAATCTTACCCTGGAATGTTGAAAAACTCATTCCAATTTATTTTTCCATCGGCTGCAAGTGGGATCTCCACATCTGCTTCTCTCGCAAGCCTCACGCATTTCTCCCGAGCGGCCTTGCAGAGCTTTCGCAGAAGCACTCGCTCGAACATGCGCAATGCAGATAACCTCTGCTGCAATGCTGAGAGTTCACGGCCCTGGGCTGAAAGCTGACGACTCAGGTCTGTAAGTTCCTCCTTTAGCTTCGAAGTTTCCTCCTTCCGCTTCAAAGTTTCCTCCTTCAGCTTCTCCTCGAGCTCTGCCACTCTCTCTGTGAGTTTGGTATTCTCCTCCTTAAGGCTGACGATCTCCCTTGAGTCCTTCTGCAGCTCCTGGATTTTCTCAGCTTGCTCTTTGTTCACCTTCATAAGCTTGTCCTTTGTGTTCTTGATCTCTTCTTTCTGGTTGGTGACTTGCAGGATCAACTTGGAGTTCAGATCTTTGAGTCTCGTGTTTTCGCCCTCCAGTCCCTGGTCTGGCTTGGGAACAACCCTGATGTAGTTCTGTCTGGCCCATGCCTCAGGCGTCAGCCTCGAGTTCTTGTAGCTAGGATCACTGATTTTGGCCTCCAGATCTTCCTTCCGCAGGTTGAAACGTTTCGCTGCCGCATCCACCGCAAAACCAAAAGCGCCATCCAGAGATTTCTTCCAGTCACCCGCTGGGAGAGGCCATGCAGACAGAGTGCACTCCACGTAAAAAATCGGGACGCACGGACGATTCTCTCCAGGCGCAATGTAGTTGCCTGGAAGAAAAAAAAAACGAGGATTCCAGGACAAAGAGCTACCACAAAGCTTCTACGAGGGCAGAGGCATGAATACCCTATTCTGCTTGGCATCCAATCTCTCAGCTTCGAGGGGGAATTCCCTCTTTTCTCTGGCGAGAGATATCTTGGCAAGGGGGGCGCCAATCAATCGGGAGTGACTTACCGCTGCCGCTGCTGCTCATCGCTCCACTCGCCAACCACTTCGCTAATAACCCTAAACGAATGTTGGGTCATAGGATTAATTTTCATCTAACGGCTGTTGTCAATTTAGATTAATTTTTAAACATTTGCCAAAATTACTTTTGTTCTAATTATTATTAAAAGTTATTAAGTATGTTATTGAAACCGCAACTTTAGGATAACATTTCGAAACACTACAACCAAGCCTTATGAGTATTCTCCCCACCTTCCACCTTTGGATGCTCTAGCCATGTGGCTAAAGTGAGGTTCTGACGAGCCACACTAGGTAAGAAACTTTGTCAAGAAGAGCAACTCTTTTAACTGCGAGAAAGGTTTTAAATTGATAGAAATATGAAAACTTTGTGATATATATACCATCGCCACCGTAACAAGCCATCTTCTCTGCAACTTTACAAAGGTCGTCAAAAATGCTCATGAACTGTGTTGATAAATTCTTTTGCAAGCTTCCTGTCCCCAAAAGAAAAAGCTCACAAAACAATTTACAAATTATGTTGTCTCTAACCTGCAACCATAGGTGAGAATTTGCCGATCAATGTCCTTATTCACGACCACCTATAAGAAAATATATAGTTCCTTTGTGCATAGAGAAACGAGAAATCACGAACCTGAGGCTTGAGATTCACCAAAACAAGTGAAATGGTTGCATTCTTCGTCGACTACAATGGAAAGAACGTTCATAGAGAAGTGAAAAAAGAGAGTTCCAAGTTGAGTACCTTCACCAGGTTCTGCCAGCTCTCTACCAGTCCGTCTACAAACTTGTGCTCCTAGATAAACAGCACAAGGACACGCATTTGAGACAAATATTACTTGAGAGCACTACTCACAGAAGATGCGTGGATCCCAAACAAGCCAGAGTCATTGTACACAGAAGTAAAAGCAGTAAAATTTTCCACCTTGGGATGGACAACGAGAATGCGAGTATCTAAACGTCAGTGCCAAACTAAGTAAGAACACTAAAACCAAACCACGATTCATACATACACAATCTGGCAGTTGAAAACGAGCCGACTAAAACGAAAATAAAAAAACACAAAGTTCGAGCATAAACATTTTCTTCCAGCAAACTTGAGAAAGAAGGGGAAGCTTTACCTGTAGCACAGTTGCTGCAACAGCATCGCGTTCGTTTCTCCAGCCACCAAGGATTTCAAAAGCGATGGAAGCCCATGTAGTCTGCTTAAAAATGAAAGAGTTAAATCCATTTAGACTTCCAACAAAGAGAAAACGCAAAAATTAAAGAAAGGAAAAACTCTTACATCACTCTCGCCTTGAAGGGGCCACCTCTGGGGGCGCCACCAGAGGCATGTCCTCAAACAACGGTTTCACCAGCGAGAGAAAATAGTCGTGCTTGATGCCAGACCCAGCGAAAACCATCCGTGAAGCTGTTTAGTTTGCCTACAAAATCTCCCTGCTATTAGAAAAAACACAAGAATAACGAAAGAGAAAGCTAGAAACTCGTGAAAAGCACGAGAGTCAGAGTTTATCCAAGGAGGACTCACTTGCCACCAGCACTTTGCCAAGAGGGCCATTGTAACCAGCGGGATGCAAAGCTTCCAGAAGCATTGCTTGAGTTGGCAATATCTTTAATCTCTTCTCTCAAGATTTCAGCCTGTGAATCCAATCAACCCTGTAAGAAAAAAAAAGAAAAAAAAAAGAAAGAGATACCTGTTCTTTGATTTCCCACTCATGGAAAGCCGGGTTCTGGATGCTATCAGCAAGAACAATCTCAGGAACAAAGCGCCTTATCACATCACCCATATAAGACATTTGCTCTCGTGAAAGCAGATGCAAGAATAGTACCGTCGATGGCTTCTGCTTCCTGGACAAGCCTCAAGTGCGTCCTGTTTTGCATCCTCTTAAAAACCATGTGAATAGTAGACCAAATATATTTATAATATTTACATGTTTCTAGAGTTTTTCATATAAAACGAAATGAATTTCTATATGATTATACTAAGAAATAAATTTTTGGAAAATGTATAATATGTGTGTGTGTGTGTGTGTGGAAAAATTGCTTAGAACAGCATGACAATATTTTAAATTGGGATGAAATTTCAGGCTTTATAAATATACATTACATCTCAGCACCAGAAGCTATATGGTAATTTTTCAAATTCAAAATGCATAAATATTTTTAATATTAACTTCTTTATAAATTGTTGAGCCTATTTGATATGTATTTTATTCAATATAATTTTAAAATTTAATTTTACTTGTAAATAAAATAATACTAAATTATATTTCAGTAAAATTTTGTTGTTCACACCAATATGATTAAAATTGAACAACTTAAAAATATAACACAAACATTATCATTGTAAATATGGACATAGCATCCAAAAAAACTATACTTTAAATTGAGATTATTGATAAAACTAAAAAGTATATGAAGGTGAGCAATTAAGACAATAATAAATTACGCATGTGGTTTTAATGTATTTTTTAATTCATTTATTGAAAACATAATAAAAGTTTAACCATTATATGGTTAAGTTTTTATTCTAAAGTTTTATGAATATAATTACATAATATATTTATCCTTCCTCAGTAATTTATATCACTTATTTGTTTTTTCAAAATTTAGGGTAACAAATAATAAAATTTGAAAATTATATTCTTCAAAACATAAACACAAAATTTATAATTAGAATTAAATTTTAATTCAATATTAAATAACACTTTTATTTTTAGAATTATCAGTGTTAAGATCTATAAATATATTTATATATATACATGTATTACCCTACTTAGGTAATACACTAATTATAGTACAACATATGGATCATCCTAAAAAACTTTATTTTTTAGAGATAAATTGCAATGCCCCTCATCTCCACCAATGTGACTAAATGGGAATAAATATATTAATTAGGGTTAAGATCCCTACTTATATACAAATAATATTTTGTTCTAATATTCTATAAATGACTAATTTTTCCATTCTACTTTAGTCACTTAACCCACATCCAACCACTTGAAAGAGTCTCATTCACCATAAATCCTATTCTAGATTTAGGGCTTAACCTTGCACTTGGTCCAAGTGCTTTATATATTCAATCCCATGAGCACACTCAACAACTACCTACATATCAACCAATGTCCCTTTTTCCATCCCCACCAAGTTCTGTTTCATCCATGATTGTGCTTGCCAACATTGCCACTGGGTTAAGGCCCAAAGGCCTGACCATTAAATTCCACTTACCTTTGGGACTTTCACCATGTGAACATATCTTTGGTCACTACACCAGAAGATTTTTTTTTTTTCTTTCATAGGATTTTAGGACAATATTTTGAAACACAATAGCCCTACACAAGCTTTGTGGATACTCTCCTTACCTCCCACCTTTGGATGGGGCTAAAACAAGGTTCCTTTAAGCCATACCAAGTATCCAACTAGGTAATCCTACCTACACTTGGATTGGGAGCATTGAACATTTAATCTTTTGGGGGAATTAAAGTTGGCTCTTGAACACTTCACTAAGTTTCCTCACTTGTTAATCTATCCCGAGTGCCTATTACCTTTGTCTCAACTGTGGGCTGGCTGCTTGTATGCCATCTAGCCAATCCAAAATCTCCAACCTGTTACCATATAAGTAATCTAGAAATCATATAGTAACAATGGTAAATATCTCACCATTGGAGCATAGTCATGTGTGAGAAGAATGTTGTGTGGCCTGAGATCTCTGTGAATTACATAGTTCCAACGCGGCATTCCTCGTGAAGATATCGCATCGCTCTGGCAGCCCCCAAAGCGATTCCCTCTCTTGCACACCATGGTAGCACCGTGTTTTTGCCTGTCACCATTGTCACATGTGTATTTCAGTGTTTAGAAAAAGAAACGAAAAGCCAAATAAGTGATAGCCGAGTGACTTGTTGCACACAAACTCGTAAACGAGCATTCTCTTTCCATTCGACGCAAAATCCTAGCAAAGTTACCAGGTTTCGGTGCTGTGCTCCACTCAGAACCTCTGCGTGCCAATGGCTTCAGGAGTGCATTTGTCGTTCCCATCGTCTAGATTCTTCACAATTCGCGAGCATTCGGCTGTGCCTTAGTTTAGTTGCTCTTGAGTCCTCATGTTTTTTGTTTCTGTAGATATGGCATGCTTATTTTCTTCTTCTCTTTTTTTCTTCGTGTTGTAGCTACTGTAGGTAGAGTTACCTCGTGTTATTTATTTCTTTGTCTTGTTAGTTTCCTCACACTTTTGTACATCTCAGATTTTTTTTGTGTCTTTTCAGGAAAAACGAAATTTATCCGCTGCTGCTTGGTGGTGGTGTTAGATGTTTGTTTAGATGTTTCCAACTTGGAGAATTCATCCATAGCCGAAGTTTTGGTTGGCACGCTGCTGGACATCATGCAGCAGTGTTCTTCTCACCTGGACTTTTCTTCCAAGAAAAGGTAGTCGCTCAACAATCTGAGACGACTCTGGTGCCAACTTGTTGGAGTAGTGATGTGATAAGGAGCTTTGTTCCCGAAATTGTGGAGCTTCTTGCCAATAGCATCCAGAACCTGGCTTTCCATGAGTGGGAAATCAAAGAATAGGTATCTCTTTCTCTTCTTTTTTCTTCTTACGGGCTTGATTGGATCCACAGGCTGACATCTTGAGAGAAGAGATTAAAGATATTGGTGAAAGATCCTCCTCAAGGGCCCCTTGGCAAAGTGCTGGTGGCAAGCGAGTCCTCGTTGGATAAACTCTGACTCTCGTGCTTTTCACGAGTTTCTAGCTTTCTCATGTCTTCCTGCTTTCGTTATTCTTCTGTTTTTCTAACAGCAGGGAGAGATTTTGTAGGCAAACTAAACAGCTTCACGGATGGTTTTTGCTGGGTTTGGCGTCGAGCACGACTGTTTTCTCTCGCTGGTGGAACCGTTGTTTGAGGGCATGCCTCTGGTGGCGCCTCCAGAAGTGGCGCCTTCAAGGCGAGAGTGATGTAAGAGTTTTTCCTTTCTTTCATTTTTGTGTTTTCTCTTTGTTAAATGGATCTAACTCTTTCATTTTTAAGCAGACTACGTGGGTTTCCATCGCTTTTGAAATCCCTGGTGGCTGAAGAAACGAACGCGATGCTGTTGCGGCAACTGTGTTATAGGTAAAGATTCCCTTCTTTCTCAAGTTTGCTCTATGTTATTGAAACTGCAAAGGAACTCTTTTAATTGCAAGAAAGGTTTTAAATTGATAGAAATATGAAAACTTTGTGATATACGTACCGTCGCTGTAGCAAGCCATCTTCTCCGCAACTTTACAAAGGTCATCAAAAGTGCTCATGGACTGCGTTCATAAATTCTTTTGCAGGCTTCCTGTCCCCAAAATAAAAAGCTCACAAAATAATTTACAAATTACGTAGTCTCTAACCTGCAACCATAGGTGAGAATTTGCCGACCAATGTCCACAACCACCTATAAGAAAATATATAGTTCATCTATGCATAGAGACGGGAAATAAGGAACCCAAGACTCTGAGATTCACCAAAACAAGTGAAATGGTTGCATTCTTCGTCGACTACAATGGAAAGAACGTTTATAGAGAAGTGAAAAAAGAGAGTTCCAAGTTGAGTACCTTCTCCAGGTTCTGCCACAAAAATAATCTCGTCTCCTATAATATCTACCAGTCCGTCTACAAACTTGTGCTCCTAGATAAACAGCACAAGAACACGCGTATGAGACAAATATTACTCGAGAGCTACTCACAGAAGACGTGTGGATCCCAAACAAGCCGGAGTCATTGTACGCAGTAAAATTTTCCACCTTGGGATGGACGCGAGTATCTTGACGTCACTGCCAAACTAAGTAAGAACACAAGAACCAAACCACGATTCATACATACACAATCTGGAATGGATGCCCTTGCCCGGGCCCCCGGTTGAAAACGAGCCGTCTAAAACGAAAAAAAGAAAGAAAGAAAGAAACACAAAGTTTGAGCATAAACATTTTCTTCCAGAAAACTTGAGAAAGAAGAGGAAGCTTTACCTGTAACACATTTACTGCAACAGCATCGCGTTCGTTTCTCCAGCCACCAGGGTTTTCAAAAGCGATGAAAACCCACGTAGTCTGCTTAAAAATGAAAGAGTTAGATCCATTTAGACTTCCAACAGAGAGATAAAATGAAAGAAAGGAAAAACTCTTACATCACGCCTACAAACATACAACCAACATACTCAGACTTTGCAGGCTCTGGAGGCGCCACCAGAGGCATGTCCTCAAACAACGGTTTCACCAGCGAGATTCTCGATGCCAGACCCAGCGAAAACCACCGTGAAGCTGTTAGGCAGGAAGACATGAGAAAGCTAGAAACTCATGAAGGGCACGAGAGTCGAGTTTATCCAACGAGGACTCGCTTGCCACCAGAGTTTTGCCAAGAGGGCCCTTGTAACCAGCGGGATGCAAAGCTTCCAGAAGCACTGCTTGTGAATCTTTGGCAATATCTTTAATCTCTTCTCTCAAGATGTCAGCCTGTGGATCCAATCAACTCCGTAAGAAAGAAAAAAAAAAAGAGAAAGACATACCTGTTCTTTGGTTTCCCACGCACTCAGGAACAAGGCTGTAAATTTTTTTGTGAGCTTTTTATTTTGGGGACAGGAAGCCTGCAAAAGAATTTATGAACGCAGTCCATGAGCACTTTTGATGACCTTTGTAAAGTTGCGGAGAAGATGGCTTGCTACGGCGACAGTACGTATATCACAAAGTTTTCATATTTCTGTCAATTTAAAACCTTTGTCGCAGTTAAAAGAGTTGCTCTTCTTGACAAAGTTTCTTCGCGGTTTCAATAACATAGAGCATAAACTTTTAATAATAATTGATAGTAATTCGGTTTTAACAAAAGTGATTTTGGTAAATGTATTAAAATTATTCTAAATTAGACGAAAAGTAATCTTCATTCGTTTAGGGTTCTTGGCGAGTGAGGAAATTGAACTTTTTGAAATAATTACATCTCATATAATATGTGAATATTGTAAGCCAAATAGTCCTTTCCTGAAAAAACTTTCTCAGAAGGTTATCCTATAAAACTTAACTTATTAATTGATATTATAACATGTAAGGGTTTTATTAATATTGAATTTTAAGCAACTATAAAAATCATTACCTATCTATTTTCATATATTAATATTATACTACAACTATTGAAATCCATGCAATAGCTCAACAATTTGACAATATTTTAAATTGGGATGGAATTTCAAGCTTTATAAATATATGTTACATCTTAATACCAGAATCAATATAAGGATTTTTCAAATTCGAAATGCATTAATATGCATCAATTCTTTATAAATTGTTGTATTTTCAAGCCTATGTGTTATATATATTTTATCCAATATAATTTTAAATTGTAAATCAAATAATAATAAATTATATTTCAAGTAAACTTTTGTTGTTCACAACAATATGATTAAAATTGAACAACTTAAAAATGTAACACAACAAACATTGTGAACATTATCACTGTAAATATTGAGATGATATCGCAAAACACTATAATTTAAATTAAGATTATTATGAAGTTGAACAATTAAGTAAAAATTAACTTACTCATATGGCTTTAATGTATTTTATTAATTTATTTATTGAAAACATTGAATTTAAAAGTTTAACCATTATAAGGATAATTGTTTTTATAAAATTTTGTGAATATAATTACATGATATATTTATCCTTCCTCAGTAATTTACATCAATTGTTTTTTTTCAAATTTTGGGTAACAAAGAATAAAATTTGAAAATTATATTCTTCAAAACACAAATACAAACTTTACAACCAGAATTAAATTTTAATTCAACATTTAACAACATTTTTATTTTAGAATTATCAGTGATTATTTTGAGTATATAAATAAATTGCTATGTGTTGCATGTAGCAATGCTTGGTTTAGTTAATAGTAATTTTATTATTACTTATTAATCAATTGATAAAATAAAGTTTACATTAAGAAAGTTTATAAATTATAAATACGAGATTAATCTAAATGAATAACAACCATTAAATGGTAAAATATCCTAGAATATTTAAGCATATTCTAGATATATCCTGCTTAAGCAAACCAAAAATAACTAACTTAACTATTTAACTGCAAAACCAACCTTCACTCTGGAAAATAGATACTAAGAATTGATGTTAGTAAGTACATCACTTGCTCATCCTGTGAAAAATAAGCTCAAAAGTGATAATTTGTAGTCAACTCTAGCACAAATTTCCCTGCCTGGTTCTCCAACGTCAAAAGATAGACATTTGCGTGGAAAGAGAGTGATGCTTGATCACAACTGCATGTACAGAAATAACAAAACCAAGTGCCACTTTCATCCGTCACACGCCGACCACAAGCACCATGTATTTATGGAGGTGGAGCTCCACTCTTTCGAGCCTTACTCTGCACACCTGACATCATCTCCTCGGGTCAAAGAGAGAGTTTCAAATCTCTCCTACCTGGCCATAGCCAGACCATCGAGAGACAGGAACAATGCTGTGAAGACACAGGGAAGAGATGACTGCAGTGAGATGGGAAACGTTCACGAAAGATGCTCCTTCCGTGCTTTCGGTCCAAGAACATTTCAGCCTGCAACAAATAATTGTTAAGGAGACTAGATAGTTTTTCTTTTACCTTCCACCAGTATCTGTATAAGTAGCAAGGCCGGATATAAACACAAGTTGTCCGGAATAAACCTCGCCAAAAGACCTGCCAGCCAAAGTCACTCTCAGAAAAAATCAAAACTAAAAGAAAAACAATTAAACATTTTTACCAGCTCTCCAGCATGAACTAAAGCTCAATCTCGATAATTCCCGTGTCGTCGTTAATAGACAGTATAAATGGTTGCTTGGCAGATGAAATCTGACAACCAACAAACGCTGCTGTACCATAAACTGCAAGGTTGAACATCTTCGGTCTCAAGTCCTTTACCAGAAGCTACGTAAGTTACACACGTCAGTCAGTAGGAATGAGAAAATTTGCATTATACATACACGAGCGGGGAAATGGTTGAGATCAACAGCACCGTGTGGGTTGCGTGGAATTAGCACTTCCGATCCAAGACATGTTTCGTGATCAGACGCTACTGTCACCTTTGACAACGATTCGAAGATTATTCCGAAGTAAACGCAGTTTTACCTCTTGCTCGAGTTGAAGACAGGGCGGCACACAATCGATCCGAGTGCATGTTCCAGACTCCAGGCTTATCTCCATTGTGTCACAGTTTACAAAGGGTCGTTCAAGGGCCAACATGCTTCCGTCACTGCAATCACGTAAAACATGTTCACTACAAAAGCAGAAAGCCTGATACGAAACTTTAGCAAATTGGCAATAGGAACCTGGTCATTCCACAGGACGAATGGCACCGTGATTTCCTCACTATCAACAAGCAAGATTGTTTTCCATCTTCTGTCGCCGTTCGTCTCAGTCTCCATGGACTTTTCGTCACAAAGTGATTAAGCCATACTCGATCGATCACGCGAAACAACACTTGGCATAAATATGGTAATCTCCGGCAGCTCCACGTTGTATAGACGGGAAAGTGTCAGAGAGAAACTGCGCGCCGAGCAGCATTGCATCGTGTTCTTGGTCCTGCGTAGAAAACAGTAGCTAACTCACAAAAAATCAAACATTCACTGCACCTCGCCAAGGTGCTCTGTGGGTAAAAGACGCGGAGCACACGATCCAGCTCCAACTCTCAGCCTACAACCTGTCATGCGTAGATCTCGACCTCTCTTAATAGTTCCCTCCTCATCTTGTACCATGTCAAAAAATCTATGAACAAAAGAAGCCATCAACAAAAAAAGGTAAAGACGAATACCAGAAGTTCTTGGCTTACTTTCGGTGCAGATAGTGGTCGACTGTGTTCCCGCTGGAAAGATCTCCAAGCGTAAGAAGATAGCTATTACTCCCTGGAAACTTTGTGTGTGATACCATCAATCAATCGAGAATGCAAGCTAAATGAGCTTACCAGGCAAGACGTGGATGTCCAGAACAACGACCTCCATTACGGCATCCAAACAAACCTCACCTGGAAGAGCTCCGCGAGAAGAATCCCTTCCGTGACCCCGCGGGGATGAGCTTGGCAGCACGACAAGACGCAGGACATCATCCACGCCCATCCGGGCATCGCCGCGCCATCGTCGTGCCGCCGCCGGTACTCCTCGAGCTCCTTCCTCGCCCATTCTATAAACCCTAGAATATCATTTCCCGCCATCGCCATTCCAAATTTACACACGGGTAAAGTTATAAGCAGCCAGTGGACGAGAATCCCGATGTTCCCTTGTCTCTTACCTCTTTGTTTACTCTCTTTGCTCGATACTTGTGGAATCCCGGCCTTAGAATCTCTTCCTTCTCCCAAGAAAGGATTCCAGGGTCATCACCCCGAGAGGAGAATTCAAGCAAAGATCTATCACAAGATCAAAGGGAACTAGAAAGAAGAAATGGATCGAAAATCTTTGTCTAGTGTTCCTTTGCCGAGCAACATAGCCATACTTTCGGGCAGCACTGTGCCTGGCCATTTTTCTTCTACTTCTAGTTCTACTGCTACTACTACTACTCTTCCTTCGAATCGAAACATTGTGGTAATTTTTGATGCGTCGAGGGAGATGTCAAGCATCGCTGTGGAGTGGACGTTGGAGAGAATTCTTCAGCATGGGGATGTCTTGACACATCTTGGGATTTTACCGCAAACAGTCACAGGAATTGCAAAACTCAGTAAGTTTTTCGCTTCTTTTTTGCCTTTTATTTTAATATTTATTGTTTAGTGCGATACAAGCCCCAGAAGGGGACTGAACAGTCTATCGTTGGCAACCAGGATGAGGAAATTTGTAAGAAACTGAAGCTCTACAGCTTAATTCTCAGTGATATTCAAAAGGCATGCGAGGATCTAAACGTAAGAAATCATTCTAAACTTTTGGTTTTTTTTTTAATGTATATTCTTTTTAACAGGCTAGTTTAGATCTTCGAATTGTTACTGGGTATCCACTGAATCTAGTTGCTGTGACCGAAATAAGAAAACTACAGCCTACATGGGTTATTCTAGACAGGTTTTTTTTTTCTTCTTCTTCTTCTGTTTTTTAGGTCCTCATACTATGAATCTGGATAGAAATATGAAGAGACATCGCAAGCATATAAACGACCAGCTCTCCTGCAACATGATTCTCATGGATCGGAACAACGAAGGCAAAATTCTCAAGCTTTGTGCCCCGGTGGTGTTGGGACCATCTCTCCAGTTCCAAGACATCTCCTCCGACTCCCAAATCCTCGACACAGTTGGAAAGTATCGTCACTTTTCATCCTCCGGAGGGGATTCGGACAGCGATACGATCCTCACACACAGTAAACACGGTGAATAGAATTTTCGTTATTTACATTATTATATTCAATTTTTCCATGGTTTCATGTTCAAAGCACGCAGAGGAGGAACATCAAATAACAGTGTCACTGTTGATCCTGGCCCGAGTGAGAATGCGGCAGTGGAGTTGGACGCTGTACTGCCGAGAGAATTGGATGAAACCAACACTGCAATCAAGCTGGATAAAGAGAAACTTACGACTGATGAAGCGATCACCGAGGACACCATCCTCTTCCCAAAACCCGGGAGCTCGGCACTGCCACTTTGCTCGATTTGCAAGCACAAGCCCCGCGATTTCAAGAGACAGACGAGAGAGTTTACGTATTCTGAGCTGGAGGAGGCGACAGACAATTTCTCGCATGCCAACTTTCTGGCCGAGGGAGGATTTGGGTTTGTGTACAAGGGCGTTCTCAAAGGTGGCCAACACATTGCCGTGAAGCAACACAAGCTCGCCAGCACGCAAGGAGGGAGGGAGTTTTGTGCAGAGGTCAAGGTTCTGAGTGGAGCACAGCACCGAAACCTGGTAACTTTGCTAGGATTTTGCGTTGAGGGTGGCAAGAGAATGCTCGTTTACGAGTTTGTGTGCAACAAGTCACTGGACTATCACTTATTTGGTACTTTCTTTTCTTTTCTTTTCTTTTTTTTCTAAACACTTGGCTTTGACATGTGACAATGGTGGCAGACAAAAACACGGTGCTACCATGGTGTGCAAGACAGGGAGTCGCTTTGGGGGCTGCCAGAGCGATGCGATATCTTCACGAGGAATGCCGGGTTGGAACTATAATTCATAGAGATCTCAGGCCACACAACATTCTTCTCACACATGACTATGCTCCAATGGTAACCATTGTTACTATATCGTTTCTAGATTACTTATATGGTACCAGGTTGGAGATTTTGGATTGGCTAGATGGCATACAAGCAGCCAGCCCGCAGTTGAGACGAAGGTAATTGGCACACTCGGGTAAGAAACCAAAACTCCTATGTTATTTTAATATGACATTTAATGTTTAGAATTGAAGGTATTTGGCTCCGGAGTATGCTTCAAGTGGACAAGTTACAGAGAAAGCCGACGTGTATTCGTTTGGTGTGATTTTACTCGAAATGGTCACAGGCCGGAGATCACTAGATATATCCCTGCCTCATGCAGAACAATGTCTCACAGAATGGGTAAGATTCATTTTTTAAAAAATTTCTATTTAATATTAATTACAGGCTCGTCCAAAACTCGATGTAAGAGATGCCGATTCTTTACTGGATCCACGACTGGTTAAAGATTTACTCCAGGAGTCACAGCTTTACGAGATCCAAGCAATGGTCCACGCAGCGGCATTTTGCCTAAGAAGAGAACCCTCGCAAAGGCCAAGAATGAGTCAGGTTGATACTTACGAAGAAAAATCATGAACTTACAAGGTTGACATTGTTGCATGTAGGTGTTGCGAATTTTGGAAGGCGAGAGAGGTGAAGCACCCACCATAGCTCTAACAATGTCTACCACCTGGGATCCCACAACCAAGAGCCGGATCCCACGAGTTCCAAGCAATACCACGCCCAAAAGTCCGAGCAAGCAAAGCTTTCTCTCATATAATGAGATGATCACCAGCTAGATGGCATGAGCTATCATGAAAGTTGACTATAGGTAATATACTCAAGAGAAAAAGAGAAACTATTATTCGTGATGTTGTTACAAGAAGCTACTATAATCCAAAGTCATACAAATAGCTTCTCAGGATCAAAGTTTCAAAGAGTGATCTTGGCTGGCGGCATCCATCGCAAAGAACTCGGAGATCACCTCCAGCGGCATGCCTTTCGTTTTGACAGGGTGAAGATCCAGGGCACTAACACCACCACCGCAAAGCAGCCAAACAAGCCACCGATTCCCAGCACCCCGCGGAGCTTCAGGCACATCTTGGTGAGGAGGATGTTGCAAGTCCATAAATGTCAGGTTCATTAAATTCAAAACAAGATTATAGATCCGTTGGAAGGAAGGAAAAATAATTTCTAGCCGATTATCTATAAAATAGAGACCTGGTTAAAATAAAAACATGGCACCACATTGGGATTTCATTCGCCTTTGCTTTGTGCTCCTCTTCTACTTGGCCCATCATCCTCTAGAATGATTATCCATTTGGAGGTAATATTCTTCTCACAAGGTCACTCAGCATTGTTTACACTCAGAAAGACATAAAGGTGGACTTCATGATAGAAAATTAACTCTGCAAGAGTGTTAATGTTCTCCATTCGTGGGATCTATTTGCACCATTGGTTAATAATGCCACTTGAGGAAGAGAAAGCTTGAAAAGAACCGAGAAGAATTTCTCATTTTACTCTCTCTTTTATTTAATCAGTAAGGCTGATTGATTCTGCGCAGACCTTTCCTCAACCGGTTTAATCACCGTCTGGATGCGTTGATTCTTTGATATTTACCAGATTGGAGACAGCAGCCATTTAGACAAGAGGTAGTTTGAATTTCAAGTTCACGGGGATCAAATCAACTTTACCTGCGAAGCAGGCGTTTTGTCTACTCTGGTTAGATTAAACATTCATAACTCTAGCTCTAGATGTCAGAATTTGAATTCTGACATTCATGTTAACAGTGCTTAAATTCTCAGGAATCCCGGCGAAGGCTGTGATTTTCTTGGACAGTAGAATTACTGCCATGTGGGCATAACTACTGCCACATCATCTATACAACTTAAGGATGATCCACTTGTTTTTTATAAACAAGAAAATATCAAATCAAACAATTTGCTTGAGTTAATGCACCCGATTCATGTGACCTGAATGAGGTGGAAACTGTCACAATCTGAGAGTGAGGGACTACAGTGCTTGTGATGGGTTTTGCACTCTGATTCAATGGTAACTGCAGAAGAAGAGGAAGCATCTTTGCAAGGTACCGGACCGGCTTATTCGACTCGGAATCTTCCCGCTGGTATCAGCCACCAGTCAAGGGTCCACAATTTGTCCACTCGCCATTAGAAAAAAAATAAAAAAATTTCAATCTTCCAGACCTTAACTGGTAATTAAAACCAGGGCTTGATAGCAATTTATTACTTTTGACAACTTATTTCCGGTGTCATTCGCTCCCATCCAATGGTTGAGGATGACGGAATAAGTGACATGTGCACAAGACTTCCAATACTATAAGTCCATGTCCCAATTAACCAGCTATAAAATACTCATGTTTAATGTGTGTCAATAATCCTTTTGCAGGTTCACCTATGGAAACCTTATTACAACTTCTATTTCCTCTAAATGATAAGAATCATGCTTCTACACAAGCATAAACTAAATGAGGCTATGCACATTTGATAGCAACGTAAAGGCAACATGGCTGCAAGGATTTAGTCTACAAGCATTCCTTGCTGCTCGTTCCCCTTGCTCAATCTCACAAGAGTTGTCCAAGCAATCTTATTGGCTGCAAAGTGCATGCTGTGGAGCAGCTCCTCGGCTTGCTCCAGCCGCCGTGCTTGTCCCAGCAAATCTATCAAACAGTGGAACTGCTTGATCACCAGTAAAATGCCATGAGCTTCCACCATGATCCCAAAGTGCTCCCTTGCTGAGTTGACCACGCCTTCGTGATTGCAAGCCATGAGAACGCTCACATAAGTGATGTAGCTCGGCCTCACTCCTTTGAGGAGCATTGAGCCAACGAGCTCCAGGATGGTTTTCAAGTCGCCATTCTAGGATGATCGAATTCCAAGTGTAGAGATCCTGCTTGGGCATTCGATTAAACACATCCAGGGCCTCCTCAAGCTGGCCATTTTGGGGAAAGCCAGAAACCATAGTTGTCCATGAAACTTTGTCATGGACAGGCATTTTCTCAAAGGTAACGATGGTATTACGCAAATGCCCATACATGCCATTCGCAGAAATGAGGCACTTCCACGAAAAAGCAATTCGTGTGGGCATAGTGTCAAACGTAGTCTTTGCCATCTCAACCCTTCCATTCTGAGAGTATGCCTGAATCATGGCCGTCCACGTGACCGAGTCCCAACAAGGCATATTTGCAAAGACAAGCTCTGTCTCATCAAGATCCCAGTTCTGGGCATAAACCGTGATTACGGACGTCCAGGCCACAACGTCCTTGGACGGCATTTTGTCAAAAAAACGCCTAGCTACGTCTACCAAGCCCTGATTCCATACGCGGCTATCACGATTGTCCATGAAAGGGCGCTCAGGTCTGGCATGGACTCCCACGGCTCCACCGACTTAATAAAAATGCCCATTTTGGGCAATGTTTGCACAATAGCTTTCCATGCGACCAGATTTCTTTCAGGTATTTTGGTAAAGATGTTCCATGCTTCAAGAACTCGACCGTTGCCAGCGTAGGCTGCCAACATGGCAGTCCACGACACAAGGTCGTGCTGACGCATACTGTCGAATATACTTCTTGCCTCGTCCAGATACCCTGCAACGGTATATGCTGACAGCATGGCAGTCCACGATACCACATTTAGCCAGGGAGTCCTGTCGTACCAGATTCGCGCCTGGTCGACCAGGCCATTGTGGCTTTACGCTTTTGAGACATTTATTCCAGGATACAGCGTGTTCTCTCAAAGAAATCTCGTGCCATGTCAAGATGCCCATGCATGGCATATGCTGTAACAATAGAGTTCCACAAGCAAACATTCCGTTCTTCCAATCTATCGACGTCCAGACAATGGGAAGTTTTACTTCCAAAGGATCAACTAATGATTCTTACGTTGGATCGGAAGCGCTCATCGCCCAAGACGCTCGCACACCCTGACCAAATCACCGCAGCAAGATTTCAGCAGCCTCACGAAGCCAGGAACATCACACATGAGACGGGTGAGATCGATCCATTGACAAAATTAACGAAATTCTTTGCAGTCAGTCACAGCTAAGAGCCGAGAAGAATCCCAGTCTTTCTCACACAACCCTTCACCTCGACGAGCTCCACGTCGAAGATCTCGAGTTGGGTCCTCCGGTCGGCCTCTCGACATTCTTTAGCTCCAAGCAGTTCGTACGTTTGATCCCTTCCTCAAACCCAGGAACCAATCCACCATCGCCCAGTCGCGTCTTGGATGGCTGCCCCTTCTGGTAGCTACTGTCGCTCCTTCTCCCGGACTCGTTGTAGCTAATGTAGTTGACGATCACTTCACTGGCCATCGCTGGGGAATTTGCCGCTCCCCTGTTCCAGGTCGAGGTAAATCAATCCGGTGTTCGTGGTCGGTGGTCACATACTCGGGGCTCGCCCACGACCTTGACCTTGAATCCCACCCGCTGGCTGGACTCCAGCAGCTTCTCTTCCTGCGCGGCGGCCTTGGATTTGATGACCGCTTGAGCGGCATTGCCCGCGCTGCCGATCGCGAGGGGAGAAAGCCGAAAGCCCTAATACACGTGTCACAATGCCACGTGGCAGCGAGCCAAGAAATCTCTCATTTCGGGGCTTCCAAACGATGTCGCTCGCCACTGCCTCGCCAAGGTCCCCAGGATCTACCACCGCACCATGCGATCGGTGTCAACGACATTTCCTGGCGGTAAGAAGGAAGAATGGCATTGCGGATGCCTGGCTCGTTGTGATCCTCATGGAAAATGGGCACAACTCCTACTGCATCTACAATCTTCCCTCCAAATCCAAAGCACCTCTTCCAGATCGGGGCTAGAATTCGGCGGTGCAATTCGCCACATTCAAGACCGCGGCGGTGGGCACTCTCCTCGTCGCGCTGGAATCCAGGACGAGCTCTCGCCGCTCGACCGTGGAGAACCACACCCGGATCTTCGATTCTACCGAGAACAAGTGGCAGCCAGGATCACCGCCAACTGTCGCGCGGTCGCAGTTCGCTATGGCGACAGTGAATGGGAGCTGCGACCACGACGGTGACTTTGTCGTCGTGACCGAGTCGTACGATGTCGCGACCGACACGCCGCGGTCGCTCGTCCGGCGCTTCTCTTCGTCGCATTGCGAGGTGCTGGTCTATGATCCTGGCAGCGATTCCTGGCACCGCGATTCCTCCGGGATGAGCGCCATGGATCACGGAGAGCTCATCTCTACCTCCAGCGGGATTTACAGCTTGACCGCCTCGGACCGCCTCTACAAGTTCGTGGACGGGGAATGGGTTCTCGCCGGGAGCATCCAGCGCAAGCCATCCCTCTCCGGCTTTCAATGTCCACTCGCAGCGGGCATTTGGGCTCCGGGACGAGATCTTCGTTCTGGGCGGTGATGATCTGGGAAGAAGCTCTTGATTGGAGAGGATCTCATTTGCCACGGATTGTTCCTCTGGTTTAGAGCTGGCTCCGTGGTCATGGGATAGGTCGATCCTGCTAGATGAGCTTGCGGCGAATTCGGGTGCTCCGCGAGCGGTTCCACACGGCAGCGGCATCGGTGATGAGTGACAATGCCAAGTTCTTGGAGACCGATGTGGACGGATGGAAGCGAAGGTATGGAGAACTCTCGCGAGCTGTGGATGCCGTGGTCGAGCAAGCAGGGGAGATCAGCATCAACACGACAGTTTCGAGAGCTTTCGTGTCTCTTCTCAAGTGGTGCGTACAAGAGAATAATCTAGCACAAGTTCGTCGTGTGCACGACTTCGTTTCCGCGAGGCATCCCGGCTGCGCCCAAGACCAGTTCGTGGGAAACATG